GCTGTCAGACACAGGGTGGATGGACAGACAAACAAGACCTCATGGTGTAGTCTGCTGTATGCCTCCAGGAACTAAAAATTGAGGGAACTCTGTTGTTGTGAATTGTGAAATTCAGGTTCACAAGCTATTGTTCCATTTATCAATGGAAATACAAAAACACACTAGAGGCTGATTTCTTCTCCTTCCTGGGTCAGGCCATTGTTGGTACCCATATACCAGAACTGTGCAAGATGGCAGTTAGTACCACTGAGCTGTTAAAGCAACAGTCTTGGTGTCAGGGCCTGGGTCTGAACCTGGGAACTCTGAGGTGCTGAGCAGCACCTTTTCTGATCCATTGGACTATCCTGCCGTGTGCCTTGTTTCTGATTACCTTTGAACTCCTTGCTCCTCCTATGAAATTCCTATTTAGGCCATGTCTTTGCACTCTTGTCACTCCTGCTGCCATCCCTATCTTTGCTACTACCTGTTATCAACAACAACTTGTTCCTCAGCTACACTATGCTTCGGCTTATCCCTACCTGCGATAACTGCCACTGAACCCAGGATTGCTTACCTCCTACGATTCTGAGGACTGCGACCTTGTACTAACATGCAGCAAAACCCATCTCCACCATCAGGAGCTTTTGGGGAACACTGGTTAGTACTTAACCTAAGGGGAGCCTGTGTCATTCTCCAGGATGACCTGCTTTTGTACTTATCCAGCTGGTTGGTGGGTGCCTCACTATTGCTAATGCTACTGCCTGACTCCAGATCATGATTTGGTTTGTTGTGGGCTTTTTACAGCAGGCATCTGTCCATACAACTTTTTGAGGTGCAGCACTGGAGTTACAGTCCAAAATATCAGGCATGATTCCTGTGAACCTTGTTGATGGACTCTTATGACATCAGCTGGTAAAAGATGCTTTCAAAGAACACAGTTGACTGTGTTCATTGGGGGGGCTAACGTGCTGTACAGGTAAAAATTGGAAGGGCGTACCCATGAAGGTCAATCTGCAGACCGAAAAATTGATATTTATTACTTGCTCATATTCATCTTCCACTGCTGATTATACATTTCTGTATTGAACTGTTGCATGGATTCAATTAAAGGCTCACAATATGTATGTAATGATAGTACCAAGTATATGCATTTATTTTTGTCTTTCACCTGCCGTTATTTTTTTTGTCTACTTATTTCCATGCAGGCCAAGTTGTCAAGCAAAAGTAACAGTTACATGAGTTGGAACAAACCATAAAACACTTGCTGGGGGTACTTGCAATGGTCAGCTTATTTATACGGTGACAACGCTGCAATGATTTCATGGCAGAACAAACAGCATTGTCACCCTGTTTAAGGAAGCAGAAAATCAACATGTCTCCTGGCAGAATCAACAAGTAATAAAATTATGTTACAATGAGGTGGCTGAGAAAAACAAAGACTACTATGTTAATGCTAATGATAGATTGCGTCATATGTGTCATTTTTTATTTCTCCATAGTTATCCTTTATCCAGTTTTAGAACCTGTTTAAATGAGCTTTAGTTTGCTTAAAGTGGTTGTAAAGGTACAAAGTTTTTACTTTCCTTCGTTCTATGCATGAAGGTAAAAAAGCTTCTGTGTGCAGCACTCCCCAACAATGCTTACCTGGGTCCCCTCTGGATCCAGCGATGTGTATGAGAGGGTCTCTCTGGGATCTCTGTGTCTTCATTGGCTGAGACAGCAGCTGGAGCCATTGGCTCCCACTGCTGTCAATCCCGGCCAGTGAGCCAATGAGGAGAGAGGGGAGAGTGAGGCCGAGACGCGGCTCTATTAGTGAATAGACGTACAGAGGAGCAAGCCTGCTTGGGTGCCGCCACAGCAAGCTTCTTGCTCTGGGGGCACTAGGCAGGAGCCTGGGGCGCTGATGGGGGACCTAAGAAGAGGAGGATTGGGACTGCTCTGTGCAAAACCATTGCACAGAGCTTGAAAGTATGACTTTTTTTGTTTTATTGCCTTTAATATCACTTTAAGAGTTGCTTCTCTCTCCATGCAAGTCTAGGGGAATGCAAAATCAACTTAAGCTGGTCAAAAGCAGATCAACTGCATCTGAAGCAATGAAGTGTGAATGATCTCACAAATGTCTGTAATGGGTGTCAAAAGCACAACTGAAGCCCTTTGGCACACATCCTTAACCATGGGATGCACAAGGCTGAGTTCATGTCAGTATTGTGAGATCAAGCAGTTCCTGGCACATGTGAATGAAGCTAGCTTTTCATATAGGCTCCATTCACATTGTCACCATCACATTATGTTCCTGTTAGTTGGTAGTATCATTTTAACACTGTTTGGACAGTAAAATTCATCAATCAAGAGCCAGTAGAAATCTCTGGTTCTTACTTATCCTGGTCATTGAATAGCTAGTAGTAGTCAATAACATTCAACAGGACTTGTTCTGCAAAGTTGAAGACTTTATCTAAGCCACTTCTTCAGTTCGAATGAGTGTCAGGAAGATACTCCAACATTTTTATCCACATAGGTAGCACAGACATCTTGGTATGATCACCTTAGAATTTTAGAACTAGAACAGGGTGGTTCCACAACTTTCAAATCTCCCATCCTGTTCTTGGACAATCAACATCTACACCAGAGGTGTTCAGCCTTTTGAAGAGCAAGGGCCACTTAAGTGATTTGGCAACCTGTGAACAGTGAACCAGGCCACAATTAAATTAAATAGTTCAGAATTACATTTTTTATTTTGAATAATATAATGAACATTTTCACTGAATGCCAGCAGGAGGGAGTGGAGAAGCCAACTTTTAAAAAATAGAGAGTATTGGTTCATGTATATGCTGCCCTTTCTGTCCAAGTGTAAAACCGAATGTGACAGGGAGGCCACACAAGCCCACCGGAGAATGGGGGTGGGGTCGCCTTTGTGACCCCTGATGCTACATCAGTGTTTGGGGGTGTGTGGTAAAAACATGTCTAAACTATGGGGGTTTTACTGTTCTCCAAACTGCAAATGTAAACAAGCCCTTACTGTCCTGAGCCCCCTATAGGGCTGCTTTCACGGTAATGCGCCGCAGTTTACATCAGAATCTGCAACTTTCCTGCGGCTTAGTTGCTCTTTGCCATAGACGTCTATTATATATTGCAGCTGTGGTGCACTTTCTGAAAGTGGGTTTTGGTGAGCCTTTAGAAAGAACACCAAACCTGCAGGATATAACAGTTTCTGACCCCAGGCATGTGCTTCCCTGGTTTGAAGTCAAGGGCCACCTTAGAGGGCTCCTAGGGCCATATGTGGCCTGCAGGCCACTGGTTGAGCACCCCTTATCTACACATTCCATGGTGATTAGATTAATATGTCTGTACTACTTTGGACATAAATATTGGAGTATTTTCCCCGACGCTCATTAGAGCTGAAGAAGTTGATTGGGCAAGCTACAAAAAGTCTTCAACATTACAAGTCCAGTTAAATGTCACCAACTGCTACTTGTTATTTTTTCACATTGCTAAAGTGACACTAATGCCTGCCATACATGGGTCGAAATGTGGCCGATTTTCGCTCTGTTAGTGAGTCAATGGCACCGGCTGATTTTCATGGTTCCTCCCCTTTTCGGTGATCGGGCATGTTGTAAACTTCATGAAAAATGACCGATTTTCAACTCAATAATGGTCAAACCGTAAGATAGTTTTTTCGAAAAGAATATGCGCATGAGCCGTGACCTGGAAGAAACAGAAGTTTCACCTGTTATATGGGGTGAACTTTATGTCTTGATTGACCGATTTTCGAAATCATTGATGGCGCCATCAGATTAGAGAGCAAATGATGTTTTCAATTTTCGGACGAATAATCGTTTGGAATTCGACCCATGTATGGCCTGCATTAGTATGTATTGCTAACTAAATAAGTCCCTTCTATTGCTCTCAGCCTCCCTCCAGTTCTTTTTTATTTTTTTGCTGCTGTGATCTGACTTCCTCTTAGAGGGTAGCTGCATTCGTTCTCTATGGTCCCACTGTATGTAAGAATGTACCACCCTCTCTTGCTTGCCCAGAGATGGCCTATGGGATTTGTAGCACTCATGACCGGCAACCAACGTGTACTGCTCATTCCAAACAAAATAGAATACAGGGCCATTAAGTAGTGAATGGATTATTTTTGTAGAATAAGGATATTTTCTAGTGCCTTGGCGGCGGGGGGCCACATATTTGCATACCTCATGTAAACACAAGATGTGCTGAGAGCGTGTCCAGTGTGCTCCCGATACATTTACCGGCGCCGCACAGAAAGTTCCCAATTGCTACTTCCATTGGGAGCTTTCCAATCATGTGACAGCCAATCACAGCAGTCACATGACTCTAAACCCCGGCCCGCCTTCCGGCATCACAAACCCCTTAAAGGGCTGGGAGGAGCTGGCGCCAAGGGGTTAACTTTATTTCCAAGAGAAATCAAAATTCAGCCCAAAAGCCAATGCAACTGTCAGTTGATACACAAAAAAGAAAATGATTGGTGACTTACTGTATGGTAGTCTTTTGTTTAGTGATTTTTGCCTTCCTCTGGATCCTCTGTGGGTATAGGATTATAACTTTTTTTTTTTTTAATGGTTGAACTGGATGGACTTTTGTCTTTTTTCAGCCAGACTAACTATGTAACCATGATTGAGAGCCACCATGGATGGTGGGGGCCATAAGCCGGACTGAAGCAGCAGACAAATTAGCTGCAGGTAATATGTTCTTTTGTCTGGATATGGAAATGACAGAATTAAATCTGAGGATTAGAAATGACTGGAAATGAAGCTAAATGTAGAAATAAAATAATGTATGCGTGTGACAGGCTAACCTAAACTGCAGCCACTACAGCATTTTATGCACGGGGTGTGACTTGCTTCTGTAGGACATTTAGGTAACGCACACTGATAGTGCTATGCTCTTTACTGGAACACATGAGAGGAAGCATCAAGAAACAGCAATTTGTCCAGATAAATAGTAGAGTAAAAGGATAAATGAAGGATGGGTCTGAACTTCCCTTAAAGTGTTACTAAACCCAGGACCCTGCATTCACTATATCCGGTCTCCCAGGACCCCGCATTCACTATATCCGGTCTCCCCCTGGACCCCGCATTCACTATATCCGGTCTCCCTGGACCCCGCATTCACTATATCCGGTCTCCCTGGACCCCGCATTCACTATATCCGGTCTCCCCGGACCCCGCATTCACTATATCTGGTCTCCCAGGACCCTGCATTCACTATATCTGGTCTCCCAGGACCCTGCATTCACTATATCTGGTCTCCCAGGACCCCGCATTCACTATATCTGGTCTCCCAGGACCCTGCATTCACTATATCCGGTCTCCCCGGACCCCGCATTCACTATATCCGGTCTCCCTGGACCCCGCATTCACTATATCTGGTCTCCCTGGACTCCGCATTCCCTAAATCTGGTCTCCCCGGACCCTGCATTCACTAAATCTGGTCTCCCCAGACCCCGCATTCACTACATCTGGTCTCCCCACACTGTGCATTCACTAAATCTGGTCTTCCCACACCCTGCATTCACTAAATCTGGTCTCCCCAGACCCTGCATTCACTAAATCTGGTCTCCCCAGACCCTGCATTCACTATATCTGGACTCCCTGGACCCTGCATTCCCTATATCTGGTCTCCCAGGGTACACACAACATGGAAAAGCAATTATTTTAGTAAATATAAACTGCTAAAAACCTTTTCTCATCAGTAGTTGGAGCAGTCTTGTGACTTCTGTAAGTGTCCAGCAGAGCACATGTTAAAGCTTGTAGGAGGAGTTTTCATTTTGCTCTAGGAAGAAGCAGGACCCCTGACCTCTGTCTGAACAGTGCTGATTGGCCCTGTGCTGATCACATGCACTCTCCCAAGAAAAAAAAAATCTCTAGCAATACACACCAAAATGAGCATGTGCAGAGTGACTCCACACAATATGTCTTATCAGGGACATTGGAAGAAGGGGAGGATCACAGAAGAAAGGATTACACAGCGTTTTCGCACAATACAGAAGATTACAATGCAGAGGATTAACCCCTTAGGTTCCACAGTGAGTATAACAAGCATACTTTACTGCATATACAGACTGATTTTACTGTTGTGGGTTTAGTACCACTAACTCTATTAGCATCCCACCTTAGCCCCCCGTAAAACACAAAAAAAGTAGTATTTTTTTCACAGCAAACTAAAACATGGTTGGCAGAAAAAATGCATTACGGGTGTAAAAACGCGCCTAAGCGTGTGTTAACACTAGGCACATTTAGCGTTTGAGGGTTAATACATTTCGATGTCCAGAATAAATTATTATTCTGGCCAATGATATTAATTAACACCCAAGCAACTGGTGCTTGTAAATGCGCCTAAATGGTTGTCAAAGTGTTAGACACCTTGACAAGTGTCAGACGTTTTTTTTCTGCGAGAACGCTGCTACCAAGAGGAGGAGTGTTTTTAAAACATCCTGTGTGCATGAGGCCTTGGTCATCACATGCCCTCTGTTTTCAACTGCAAAAGGAGCTGAGAGAGGAGGAACAACAGTACACCAGACTTCCCAGTGAATGGCTGTGCATGTCAAGACAAGTCTGATCATTGACGGAAAGCAGGCTGAGTTCCCAGCACAGCTAGAAAACTGGTCTTCCCAGTGAATGGCTGTGCAAGGGGGCATGTCAAGACAAATCTGATCATTGACGGAAGCAGGCGAGTTTCCAGCACAGCTAGAAAACTGGTCTTCCTAGTGAATGGCTGTGCAAGGGGGCATGTCAAGACAAGTCTGATCATTGGAAGAGAGCAGGCTGAGTTCTCAGCACAGCTAGAAAACTCACAATGCTGCGCTCTCATGCCTAGTATAGTCAGTATATGATAGGAAAGCAGAGGGACTGGCAGGAACACCGGGGATTTCACACAAAGGAAGCAACACAAAGAACAGGATACTTTTTCATGCAAGTACCGTATTTTTCGCCGTATAAGACGCACTTTTTTCTTCCCCAAAACTAGGGGGGAAATGTCAGTGCGTCTTATAAGGCGAATATGGAGCGGCCGGTCCGGTATTTCCACCGCGGCCGTGTCAGAATACCGGGCCGGCCGCTCAGCTCTGCAGCGGGACCTTACCTGTTCCTCTATCCAGCGGCGCGCTGTCTTCCGGCTTCTGTAGTGTGGGCACTGGGCATGACAGCCGGGTCCCAAGTGCGCATGCGCAAGAAGCGGTGCTTTTTGTGAATGGTAAGGCGGTACCTGGGACACATGACAGATCCCAGAAGCCGCCGGACCAATCACAAAGCGCAAGTGCTTCTCGCTCATGCGCACTGGGCACCCGGCTGTCATGCCGAGCGCCATTACAGAAGCCGGGAAGACAGCGCGCGGCTGGATCGAGGAACAGGTAAGATCAAAGAACAACTGCGGAAGTAAGAGCGGGTACCTGTCAAATTCAGGTACCCGCTCCCCACCTCCCTAAAGGTCAGCAGTCATCTGTACTGTCCGCAGTCTCTGGTCATCCCTGTGCTGTCCGCAGTCTCTGGTCATCCCTGTGCTGTCCGCAGTCTCTGGTCATCCCTGTGCTGTCCGCAGTCTCTGGTCATCCCTGTGCTGTCCGCAGTCTCTGGTCATCCCTGTGCTGTCCGCAGTCTCTGGTCATCCCTGTGCTGTCCGCAGTCTCTGGTCATCCCTGTGCTGTCCGCAGTCTCTGGTCATCCCTGTGCTGTCCGCAGTCTCTGGTCATCCCTGTGCTGTCCGCAGTCTCTGGTCATCTCCTGTACTGTGTCTGCAGTCCATTAGTTCAGAATTTTTTTTTCCTGTTTTCTGCCTCTAAAACCTAGGTGCGTCTTATGGTCAGGTGCGTCTTATACGGTGAAAAATACGGTACATGGTACAGCAGGCACACATCAGGAACATGAAATGTTGGGTTTACATATTCTCTAAGCTCATAAAAGACCAACAGGCCCCTATGTGATGCTACATTCAGTGTGACAGGTCCTCTTTATGGAGACATCGATACATTAAACTAGTTTTTTTTTTTTTTTTTTTAAACTAGGGCAGAGCCAACCCACTCTACTTATATTCTTTCCAGCAGCATTTTTTTTCTGCTACAAAATCACAGAGGCACTTTAAATATTGATATTTCTGAGTATATGCCAGCTTCAGTGCCTGCACGTTCCCTTCACACTAACCTGAATTACAGAGATGCATTATTAACACCATTTCAATAGCAAGGCTTTTAACTGTCAGCATTCTTACTCAGCAGCCAGAGCCAGCTATTATGGCAGCAGCTTAACGAATAAAAGGGGCCTAAAAACCAAAATAAAATAGGAATTGTGTAAATGGCGCAGCATGGCAAGAAAATGTTAATCTTGCCTAGAACAGCCTACTGAACATTGACAAGGAGATGATTATCAGTGCCCCTACATTGTACAATGGATTCACGGCAAGCCTTGGAAACATTACATTTGGCTATACACTCCCCGGCCTACTATAAGGTACAGCTGTTTAATTGCTTGGTAACACAAATTGCTAACCAGCCAATCACATGGCAGCAACTCAATGCATTTAGGCATGTAGACGTGGTGAAGATGACTTGCTGAAGTTCAAACCAAGCATCATAATGGGGAAGAAAGGGGATTTAAGTGACTTTGAACATGGCATGGTTGTTGGTGCCAGACAGGCTGGTCTGAGTATTTATAAAACTGCTGATCTACTGGGATTTTCACGCATAACCATCTCTAGGGTTTAAAGAGAATGGTCCGAAAAAGAGAAAATATCCAGTGAGCTGTGGATGAAAATGTTTTGTTGATGTCAGAGGAGAATGGGCAGACTGCTTCAAGATGATAAAAAGTCAACAATAATTCATATCAATATGGACCAAAAAGAGATTTAAGTGATTTTGAACATGGCATGGTTGTTGGTGCCAGACGGGCTGCTCTGAGTATTTCAAAAACTGCTGATCTGCTGGGATTTTCATGCAGAACCATCTCTAGGGTTTACTGAGAACGGCCGAAAAAAAAGTGAGAGGCAGTTGTGTGGATGAAAATGCCTTGTTGATGTCAGAAGTCAGAGGAGAATGGGCAGATCGGTTGCTGCACCAGTCAGATGGTAGGGTCAGAATTTGGCTTAAACAACATGAAAGCATGGATCCATCCTCCTTTGTATCAACGGTTCAGACTGCTGGTGTAATGGTGTGGGGGGGGGATTTTCTTGGCATTTGCAAGGTGTACCTAATAAAGAATTGAGTCCTAAATCTGGGGAATTGAGCCTGGAGTCAAAATAATTGAATCCTGGGGTATTTAGTCCTGAGGTAGAGAGGAACCGAGTCAGAGGAACTAAGTCTTGAGTCAAAGGAATTGAACTCGGAGTCAGATAAATAAAATCTCAGAGGAATTCAGTCCTCAATCAGATTAAATTGAGTCCTGAGTCAAAGGAATCAAGTGCTAAATCAGAGGAATTGAGCCTTAAGTCAGAAGAATCAAACAATTGAGTCCAATTGAAGCCAAATAAAGTCCTGAGTCAGAAGATTTGAGTTCTGAGTCAGACAAATTTATTTATTTATTTATTTCAGGTACTTATATAGCGCTGTCAATTTACACAGCGCTTTACATACTGTATATATATTGTACATTCACATCAGTCCCTATCCCTCAAGGGGCGTACAATCTAAAGTATTGAGTCTTAAGTCAGAAGAATTAAATCCTGAGTGAGGTCAGAGTTAAGGATTGAGTCCTGAGTCAAAGGAATTGAGTCCTAAGTCAAAAGAACTGAATCCTGAGTAAGAGAAATCGAGTCCTGATTCAGAAGAGATTGGTCAGAAGAACAATATTCTGAGTCAGATAAATACAATCTCAGTTCAGAGGAATTCAATTCTCAATCAGATTGAATCCTGAGTCAGAGGAATCAAGTCCTAAATCAGAGGAATTGAGCCTTGAGTCAGAAGAATCGAACAATTGAGTTCAATTGAAGCCAAATGAAGTCCTGAGTCAGAAGATTTGAGTTCTGAGTCAGACCAAATGAGTCTTAAATCAGAAGAAATAAATCCTGAGTCAGAGTTAAGGAGCCCTGAGGGAGAGGAATTGAGTCTTGAGTCAAAGGAATTGAGTCCTAAGTCAAAAGAACTGAATCCTGAGTAAGAGCAATCGAGTCCTGATTCAGAAGAGTTTGGTCAGAAGAACAATATTCTGAGTCAGATAAATACAATCTCAGTTCAGAGGAATTCAATTCTCAATCATATTAATTGAGTCCTGAGTCAGAGGAATCAAGTCATGAGTCATAAGAATTAAGTCCTGTACCAAAGGAACTTAATCCTGAGTTGGAAGAATTGAGCCCTGAGTTAAACGAATTGAGTCAGAATGACTATGTCCTAAGTCAGAGAGACTAAAGCTTCATGCATACGAGTGGATTGGCCCACCAGTGTCAGAAAACTGCATTTGCGGGTGCCCAAGGACACCAGTGTGGCGGATGAGGGTGTTGAGTGTGAGGTAAAAAGCTGGAGTTCTACTTTAGGATAAAAGTTCCATTAAGAATTGTAGTCTATTGTTCCTTGATCTCTGCACCTAAAGACGCTAACACTGTTCAACAAATTTTTATTTTTTGCCAGTTTTGGAAACAAAAGGATCCATTTCTTAATGAATTT